ATATTTTTATTAATTAATAGTTAATTAATAGTCAATTAATTGACCTAACAAAATGTTACAAAATAAAATTTTTTTTTTATTTTAATAAATGAAGAGTTAAAAATATTATAATATAAAATAAAAGATTATACCTTTAAACTTGAAAAAGGTAAAATAGGATTTCACTTGACTAATTATCTGTCAGTCATGCAATTGATTGAGCCCCCATCCAACAACTAGCCAAAGAATCTATAAAACCCATTTTAAGTTAACTAGCAAAACATCCCGAGAATCAGAACTCAGATCCGCTATTCAGGATCCATGGAGGGTTCCAGCACCCTTGACTCCCAAAATCTCCTTGATGAAGAAAATAACATAACCTCAACTACCACCACCGCCACAAATTTCAAGAAACTATCTATCATCCCTCTTGTCTTCCTCATCTACTTTGAGGTTTCTGGTGGGCCATATGGTGCGGAATCTGCCGTGGGAGCAGCCGGGCCACTTTGGGCTATTTTGGGGTTCCTTGTTTTCCCTTTCGTTTGGAGCGTCCCTGAGGCCCTGGTCACAGCTGAGCTCGCCACCGCTTTCCCAGGCAACGGTGGCTATGTCATCTGGGCACATCAGGCCTTTGGACCCTTCTGGGGTTCCCTCATGGGTTCGTGGAAGTTTCTTAGTGGGGTGATTAACTTGGCCTCTTACCCTATTCTTTGCATAGACTATCTCAAGTTAGTTTTACCCCTTTTCTCTTCTGGGGTGCCTCGCTATATTGCTATTTTGGTTTCAACTTTGGTTCTCTCTTTCTTGAATTACACAGGTTTGGTTATAGTTGGTTATACTGCTGTAACTCTAGGTGTTGTTTCATTGCTTCCATTCATATTATTGACTCTGATTTCAATTCCTAAGATTAAACCCAGTAGGTGGCTAAGTTTAGGTCAGGAAGGAGTAGAGAAAGATTGGGCATTATTTTTCAATACCCTTTTTTGGAACCTAAATTTTTGGGACAATGCTAGTACTTTAGCTGGGGAAGTGGAGCAACCCCAGAAGACATTCCCAATGGCACTATTCTCTGCTGGGATGCTCACTTGTCTGAGTTACTTGGTGCCTCTTTTGGCTGCAACTGGGGCCATATCACTAGAACAAGAAGAATGGACTAATGGGTATTTTGCTGTGGTAGCAGAAATAATAGCTGGGAAATGGCTGAAAATATTCATGGAAATTGGGGCAGTTTTATCAATTATTGGACTCTATGAAGCACAGTTGAGCAGTTGTTCATATCAGGTTCTTGGTATGGCTGATTTAGGATTCTTACCGCGATCTTTTGCTACAAGGTCAAGGTGGTTTAACACACCTTGGGTGGGAATTCTGCTCTCAACACTGATAACACTAGCAGTTTCTTACATGGATTTCACCAACTTAATTTCAATGGTGAATTTCTTGTATAGCTTAGGCATGCTGTTAGAGTTTGCATCATTCCTTTGGCTGAGGAGGAAATTGCCAACATTAAAGAGGCCATTCAGAGTGCCAATGCGATTGCCTGGTTTGGTGTTCATGTGCTTGATTCCATCTATGTTTTTGATCTATATAATGTCTGTTGATACCACAACAGTGTATTTGTGGAGTGCTGCACTGACTCTTTTTGGGATTGCTTGGTATTTTGGAATGAACTTCTGCAAGACCAAGAGGTGGATTGAATTTAATAGCATAGGAGAAAAAAGAGATAATGAGGATCTGGAGTAGAAATAGCTAGCCGTTCTCTGGAGGTGCCACTTCTACTCTAGTATGGAAATTGGCTTAGAAAAAAATATCTAAAAGAAACAAAATTTCACCTTCGTCCTTCAATTTATTTATTGATAAAAATGTAGAGTTTCTCAATTGAGATTGTTGAGAAACTTTAAGAGCATGAGATAAACACTGTAACTATCGAACCAGCTCTACATATTTTTTAAGTGCTTGAGATTTAAAGTTAGAGGTCTTATGTTTAAATCTTGAGTAGGGTAGGCAGAGATTAGGGAAAAGGAGAGGGCTATCTCCTTGTGAATAGCTCATTATTATATGTACAAAAAAAAAAAAAAAAGCCTATTGAAGCAGAATGTTCATCTTAGTACTTAATTTTATAATTTCGAGATGGGGGATTCAAATCTTAACCTTAGTACTAGGGGTGCTCCTGATGAAGAGGCATATAACCACTGGGTCATGAAATTAGGTGCTAGTACTTAATTCTTTTCTGGGTGCATCTTAGTCCTTAATTTGCATATGGAGTCTGTACTAACCCCAAAGCAAAATTAAATTATAAGGACTAGACCCAGATGGATGCATAAATGTTTTCTAACCAAAAGGGAGTTGGGCCAAATGGGCCGGTAGGGGCCTCTCATAGTCATAGATGCAGAAATATTATGGCCCAGGTAAGTGGGCTTATAATTAAAAGACAACTTAGGAAATGGGCCGAAAGGAGTACTCTTAAGTCTCCAACATACTCCGAGTAATTATTGATGTGATGCTGATGCCCACTTTAGAGATCATAGTAGGGTTATTTTATTGAAAAATAGCAAGACTTTGACATATGATAAATTGGTGTGAGATAAGATCATAAGAAAAAAGTAAAATATTAATTATGTCTTTGCCTGTTAAAGATAGCTAGGGCCGGCCTCACCAATTTACCTTTTTAAGATTATGCTTCTTTTTAGTATAATTTTATTTTATTTTTTTAAAGCATGAGATTGTATAATTTTAATTATTATTTATTAATAAGCGGGGGTTTTTGAATGTAGAATTATTTTTTAAATTTATGGTATTTTTTACAGTTTGATATAAATTAAATTGTAAAATAAATTAATTTTTTATTTTAATTTTGTTTGAAACTTTTTAAAATTAGATAGTATATATCAATGTACCCAACGAGATTTTAAACAATTTGATGAAGAAATAGATAAATATAGAACGTATGTGGTCCATTAAAGAAGAGAAATCCTAATTAGCTTGTTTGCGTCATTGATCTAGAAGATTTGACATCTTATTTAATAATTTTTTTTCCCTTCTATTGAATAAGTTTTATTTCGATGAGCATATTTTATTTAGAAGTTATTTGACATAGCCGTTAGAATTTAATAATTAATAATTTTATTTAATTAGATGGTCAATAATTATTATTGTCAATAATTTATATATTTTTATTCATTAAATAAAATAAAATTATTAACGTATTAATTTCAAATTATTATACTCAATAGTCTTTAAATAAGTATGAAGTGAATTTAATTTGCAGATAAGTGAAGGGGGGAGGGCGGCTGCACTTCTATTAACGTATTGATTAGGGACTCTTATTTAAAGCGAATTTAATTTACAGATAAGTGAAGGGGGGAAGACGGCTGCACTTCTATTGACGTATTGATTAGCGACTCGCCAATGGTTATAAGAGGAAGGATAATATATGGAAATAAGAATCTTAATTTTATTTTTTTAAAGCATGAGATTGTATAATTTTAATTATTTATCTTTTTATCATTCATAATTACAATTTATTTAAATTTATTAAATATAAATAATATTAAAATTTTTTAAAATTTATTATTTAAGATTTTTTTAAATAAAAAAATTAAAATATATAATTTTTTTAAAAAAAATTTAAATTTATTAAATATAAATAATATTAAAAAATTAAAACTCTTACCAACTTCACAAAAAATACGCTTAGGATGCCCTTAGAAAGCCATGGCATCTGACTATATCGATATTAATTTGAACTATTCACGTCAGCAAGAAAATTAAGGCAGGACGTAATTAAGGAATGGAAG